AAAAAAATTTTCGATGGCCCTCCCCCACCCCAAAAAATTTTTCGATGGCCCTCCCCCATTTTTCGATGTCTCTTTATCCCTCCGTAAATTCCCAAATTAAGTACGCATCCCGATTAAAGGTACGCGCCCCCAATTTGGGGCTGATGGGAGCCGGAGACAAATATTCCCGTCTGAAATGGAAAAACTCTGATGGAAAAGTACGCACCCCTTCTAAGCACGGCCGGTACCTCTGGTCTTAAAGACAGTTCATCGTTCCAAACAAATTTAAAATTGCAGCTTTAAAATTGTTAAAAACTAGATTTATGCTGTGTACTGCGTGATTGTATGGTAACGTAGCGGGAAACGTTCCATGTTCGGGCTTGTTTTCACCGCCGGCCGCAGCCGACTTGCAAGACGTCACCACCGCATCGAAAGGTAAGGCAAGTGCGGCGAAACGTACAGCTTTGGATCCCGGAGAACGTTGGTGATCAAACAAGCAATGGTCAATAAAGATTCGTGAAAAAAGACCGTATTTCAATATTGACTTCATCGGTAGCGGGGGGTAGTTGAATGTTGATGTACAAGTACGTAGCTTTGCTGGGTTTTTTTTACTACATGTATACGAAATGCACCGAACACTTAAAATAGCACCCGCCCGATCAACCCATGGAGAGCAATTAATTAACGATCATCGAGGCGGAGAACTGGGCGGAGTATTCATGCTACTGTAGAGGTGCTGCCTTAAAATTTGCCACCCGTTACACTTCTAATGAATAAACACATGTGTTAATTATTTTGTACTCCGTAAAACTTATACACATGTAAGTACATTCTGTTCAGAGGAAAGAAAGATTTCCTTCCCGGGGCCCAGGTTCTGGAAACGGCTGTCCTCAGCGCTGCCACGGCCCTCTTTGTTCTTCAGCTGTAGGTGCACTTTGCCTGTCGGCGCGCTCAGCACCCCACCCACCGGCCTTTCATCAAAGACTACATTTTAAGATAACTCCGCCCATATCATTGTAGCTTGCCGAACAGTCGGGTGGGAGAGTACATCTAGCTGGCATTTTCACGTCGTACTGCACTGGCTGGTATAGTCCGCTACAAAGTAATTTCCCATGGCGTTTATCAAGATTTAAAAAGATTTGTGATACGAAATGAAACATGGATAACAATATCTGTCAACTGAACCTTTGAAACGGCATGGGGTAAAATCTTTGTCGAAGATTTCTGAGTTAAACTCAAGCCGGAAGTGCATTAGAACTGACCATCAGTCGAGGCACAACTGTTATTTTATCACGTTACGTTTTGTTTACGACGATCAAAAACTTCACGGCTTGCGGACCATTTCAAATATTACCGCTCATAAACCCTCTTACAATTTTATATGTACTTACGGGGGGTTATATTTTCGGCCGGAGTTCCACTGAGATCGGCGTCGGCTGGCTGGGGGACGGCCGGTCGGCATGACGGAGCGCCGGGCGTCATTGCTAGTGACCAACATTTTCTTACCGTGGGTGACTTGACTTCTTTTTTACCACAACTTGGTGTAAATATCGACGATAGTCAGAGGAATTATGTTCATATTTGAAGATCAACTTTATTTCCACTCGTCAATATTCTTATCTAAACATGCTATGGACGATCGATGTCGTTCCAAGTTCCCCGTGCCGGTGTTCCGCTATATATATCCCTGGGTCGTCCACGGATTTGTCGGGGGAAAACCTCAAATAAACCTCAAAAACCTCGCACCCCGACTTTGGCGACGGCCCGAGACACTTTTGGGATTTGGAAAAGTTTTAAAAGTGCGTACTATATTTCGAATTTACGGCGTATTTCTTGTAATTCGGTACTACGCGACGCCATATTTTGGAAAACTTTTTCAGTGGCCCTCCCCCCAAGGCTGATTTTTTTTCGATGGCCCTCCCCTCGGTTAAGATATTTTTTCGATGGCCTCCCCCCGGGCCAAAAAAGTTTTCAATGGCCCTCCCCTCCAGTGCACCAGCCCTCCCCCCCGGTAAATATCGTACAGTCCCTAAAGAAGTACGGAGATGAGAAGGCACACAGAAGCACACACTTAAATCATGTAGTTTGATCAACAAAGAAGTTCACACGTTGTCCGCGGTGGGTCGGTCTGTGGTTTGCTGCTCACACGTTGTTCATGACCTTGTCCTTGTACGCAGCTCCGACACGGACTCCGGGCAGGAAGTAGTCGACTGTTGGGTCGGCAACAGTTCTGGAGTGAAACACATAATAACACAATAGTCATGTACATGTACTGCATTAATATATGAAGCTGCTTCGTCTAGTTCACCATCAAATTCCTAAAAAAAGATATTATTAAGCACTTCGTATATCAGTCATCAATCACCTTGTATTGATGGCCTTTACAAAATCGGGCATGTTTTATTTAGACCATGTACGTCAGAATGCAGTTCTGGAGTGAAAACTCTTAACAACCCTTACAACAACCAAACAAGGAAACCGCTTGTACGCTTGGAAAACGTGACAAGATGACTATTCACATCTCGCTATAGCACTTTTTATACAAAAAATAGCCATGTTTAAATCATATCAAACATCTTATATTGATGGCCTTTAAAAATCTAGAAAGTTTTCGACGGCTTTTGAGTAACTCTAAAGCCTAATCCTAAAACTCCAGTTCTCAGATATGGCATCTACCATTTCAAATGGCAGCGGCGCGGGGACGCGCTACGCTGTTACCTGTGCTCTTCCGCCTGATTGACAGCCCCCTCATAAGGCTCCTGGGTAAGGCACCACTCCCACAGGTCCTGAGCGGTCTGTGTGTGCGGTGCGCCCAGCGGGTAGCCGTTGTTAGTTGTGATCTCCCGGTATGTAGCCACGGAGCTGGATAGGAACGGGAAATGAGTTAAAGAAACGATGGTTCCAGAGGAAAGTGTTCTGAGGTGATGTAGGATACTTACGAAAGGTATAGAAAGAAAAGACAACATACACGCACACACACACACACACACACACACACACACACACACACACACACACACACACACACACACACACACACACACACACACACACACAATGCACTCACACACATACACACGTACACACACGCACGCGTACACACACGTACGCACACACACGCGCGTACACACGTGCACACACTAGTTATTCAGCCTGGGAAGTTTGTTACATCCATCAGTCGAAGAAAAGTCTCACCCCTTTGGAATCCTAGTACGAGTTGGTGTGGAGAAGTTGGTGTAGAAGAGTCCAAAGTGCTCGTGGATTCCAGAAGCCCATTCCACATTGTCCATCAGCGTCCATGCGAAGAATCCTTGGTGGTCGACCCCGTCCAGTTCAATCGCTATTCAGAAAATGGAAGGACAGGCAGGTATGAGTAGCATGTTCTGATAACTGCTTGTGTGATAATCGGCGTAAAAACAAAGGACAATACTATTAGATATTTGTGATTGCGCTAACTTATTTTCTGACAACAAAACACCAACCTTTTACCACCTCGTTAGCGTACAGCATGTAGTAGCATTGCCTCCAGACGTCGTCAAACTTCGGTGGGTGAAACGTGGCCTCGGAGATGCCGGTCTCCGTAAGGTAGAACGGCCCGTCGTTCTGGTATGTACGCCTGAAATAGTCCAGTTGTTTGCGGACTGCCCACGGTGTTACTCGCAGGAAGATCATCTCACCTGGGGAAAGATGTAATCTGCTGTGTTCACTGACCAAACCCACCAAGGCAATTGCCATCTCAATGTTAAAACCGAACCTTCTACAACGTTAACACATGGATAGTGCTCTAGACAACTAACAGTAGTGCCATTTTCCAATAAAAAAGAGGTTTCTAGGTCTTTTAGTTGCGAGCAATATTCCAAACCCGTGTCGGAACCCAACGCTCGTTTGCTGATTTTGCAAATGCCCTCCAGTTTGGCACGATTTTAGTCAGAAGCACGTTTGCAACGATTAAAAGACCCACCTAATATGACCAGCACTCTTACCTTTCGGCCAACTTGGGTCAACGGTCTCTTTGAAGCCCTTCAGGTCAGGAACCATCACAGACATCCAGTTGAACCAGCCAGTTTCGTCGACGTCCCCAGGGTCGTTGGAAGCGTAGATGAGACGAGCAGAGTACTGGTTCAGTCCCACGAAGTCAGCCGTACCGCGGTTAAAGCGAATCTCCTCCTCCGTGAAGACGGGCAGACGGGACACAGCACGGCCCTATGAAAAACAAAGGACAAGTAACCTATTATGGGTTGTTCGAAGACTTGCTTGGCTCTTTCCGTCTCGAAGACGGTCCACAGCTTCCGTCAGTTACTCTCCGCAGAGTCTGCCGGGCTACTATCGGCCGTACTAGTCATGAGAGGCACCGCGCAGCAAGAGCCGCGGAGAGCTCAAGAACATGACAGTCTTTAAAGCGCCTCGGTGCTTAATGCATTAAATGGCAGACGGGACCTTGGCCTTGCTAGTCTTCACTTTCTGTCTGGCAAGGCGAATCTATATTGGCAGCCTGTAACCATTGGCCTCCAGTAACCGCTCGGCGGCCAGTGGTTACAGGAGGCCAATGGATTCAGTCGGCTTTCCTTGTCCTAGAGAATCTGCTCGGAGATTATTAGAGAAACCTTACCTCCTCCTGACTGCTGGCACCAATCATGTCGATCATCCCCTGCGGGTAGTTCCCGTCTCCGTAGATCGGGTTCGCGAACCAGCCCATGACGAACTGTTGGTACAGGTCGGCGCCCAGAACGTCCTGTGGGTTGTTGGGGTCCCGGGGTTCGCTCCAAAGAGCCCCGATGACGATGCCGCACGCTCCCTGTTGGTCGGCCCGGAACTCCTCGTCGTACGTGTGGTAGGCGCGAGCGTGGGCGCGGATGACGTTGTGAGCTGCCTTGTACTGTCATTGGACGAGAACAGGACAACATGAAGTCCTGTACCTTTCCACCATAGCGAACTAATATACATATGTCATCTCCTTTAATTCTATAACATTACAACATTAAGCCAGATTCCTATCTATGTTCTGTATATCTATCTGTATATGTACATATATGTATATACCCTGACGTACCATTTCAGTCCTGTCGTTGTCCCAGATGCCTGGAGGAGCCCCGGCGATTCCGTACCCTCCCATGACGAAGGACCAGGGCTCGTTAAACGTTACCCAGTGCTTCACACGATCTCCGAACGCTTGGAAGCACACGCGGGCGTACTCGTTGAAGTCATCCACAATAGCGTCGTTGAGCCAGATGCCGTACTTATTCTATAGGATCAAAATACATGACAGACGGTTTATTGTCTGATAATTCCGTTACAACATCCAACTTTATACAATGAATCAATACAATTTGATAAGGGCACAATCTTAAAGTTTGCACATAAGTACATATTTACACAGGACCTGAGGGCCAATTTACACGGCGGCAATGACGATGGAAATCCAGAATGCGCCACACATAATTTGACAGTTTACATTACATGGTCATACGCACAACACGCGCCGTGCGTCAATCGTCGTGGGACAAATGATTTTTTTCGGCTCCGTGTAAACATACCCCTAGTCCTTTGTACATGTACCAAGGTATACAGGTATAATTACTTACGTCCAGTGCCTGAGGTCCATCCCAGTGGTACAGCGTAACGTACGGCGTCTTGCCCTGGATGAGCAGTTCGTTGATGAGGTTGTTGTAGTAGTCGATACCATCCTTGTTGATGCCGCCGGCCACAGTACCGTCCGGGAGGATACGGGTCCAGGAGATGGAGAATCGGTAGGAGTTCAGACCCAGCTCGTCGATTGTCTCAACATCTCGGGCAAACTGTGGCGGGATACATCTCAACATTAGTCATGAATACGCGCAATATTGACAAGGAAGATGGCAAATGTAAGTCTGAACAAGAAGGTGTTCTTGATATCCCCGAGTAACGCCTATTCGAAACAATTATGGGAAATAAATGTCATAAGATAGAATTATTTTGTTGCAGCAGAACGGTATTTACAATTTAGATTTATGATTGAGTTAATTAAAAGAACTTACATAGTCGTAGCTCTTGGTGGCTTCATCTCCCTCAAATGCCCCCAAACTGTGTGCGTAGTGGTCCCACATCGACTCTCCTTTTCCGTTACGGTTCCACGCTCCCTCAATCTGGAACAAACAGTAGCATTTTTAACGATAGTTTGCAAAAAAGGGCACCATAATCTGAAGGCCCTGAAGCCTTTTGGGCTTGGCATGCAAAGAGGGAAGTGACATGCACCAAACATTGGCTTAGACACATTATTGCATTGGCTGAGGTTTTTTTCTTCTAAATACCTGATAGGATGCTGTAGCAGTCGACCAGAGGTACCCTTCCGGCACGGTTCCAGGCCAGAAACTGTAGCGGGCTGTAGATAGAAGTAGAAGACAAACCCCGTTAATTTCCAGGTAGATTATCTGCACAATTCCTAGAATCCTTGTAGACTGCACACAATAATGTACCATTAGGCTTCTCCCCAGAGGCGTCGCAAAAAAAAACAGACCGCCAGCTTGCCGGTTAATTTCTCACTTCCCCGGTGAATAGAGTGCACTTACTCAGTTCTGCAATTGTCTCCGACTGTACACCCATCCAATAGCTGCTGCACCTCTTCACAACCGTCGCCCTGTAACGAAGATAACAATGAGCAGTGGATCATCGGTTGCAGAAAGTTTGTGGCGCCCCCCGTCTTTGTTGAGGGATGGTGGCAATGCCTCGATGTAGACAGCCTCTTGCAAATTTGGGTAAGTCCAATTCCTTGTGTTGGAAATTGCAGTTCAAACTTGCTTTATAATAACTTTGAACAACTTAGATGAACTTTGAAGACAGCTTCTTCTATCCGCAAAGACACAACATCGGTACTTACACGAAGTAGATTTCGCCCAGTTTCGTCTGTCCCTGCGGCATCTCCCACGTCAGCCTGATCTCGTTGGTTCGCAGCGGCCTGCGGTTGGTGATGCTGTCCCCCTGAGAGCTGCAGGTGATCCGCTTCAGGCCGGAACGCTACATGGAGGGAGGTGGGCATTGTAACGTTAAATTACTGTACCCATTTAAGTGTCACGAACATGCAAATGAGCCACTTTTGAATACATGTACCCATCTCGCATCGTGACCAGGTTACATACACACTCCTCCCGTGTTGCACATTAATTCCTAATGATATCCTACAGATATTGATACTGATACATACTATTATTCACACTACCTGAACCTGCGTCATCCTTATGCATCCTAGTTTACTCCTCTTCATCCTACCTGACTCTATCTAAGAGTTTGTGGCGTCCCTCGTCTTAACAGATTCAGTTAAGATGAATGGGAGTGGACAAGGATGATGTAGGTTCAGGTAGGATGAATGAGAGTGAACAAGGATGCATAAGGGTGATAGAGATTCAGCAGGCAGAAGGTAACGCTATAATTATGTACCTCAGATGGCGGGAGGAATGTGCCGACCGGCTCGGTACTGCCTGGCCGCCGGGCCTGCAGCAGGATGGACCGGAACTGCTCTCCTCCCGTCACACGAACTGCGGGCAAACACGATCAACCATTAATGATAAGGAGAACAACGGTTTAGGTGTATACGTATTTGCCGGACTGTGTGTTTGCATTTGTGTCGTATTTAGGTATTTGAATGCAGAAGAGCGTCAAGAATGACATCCACAACAACTTTCACATTTACATAATCTATGCATGGTGATGTTCGCCCTTAACTAATTTCATCCTTGACACTAAGAACCTCGCCATCATCTGCAGCGCGACTAAAAGCTTCGTTCCTAACAGCGCGGCTAAAAGCCTCGCTACCGACAGCGAGGCTAATAGCCTCGTTGCCTACAGTGAGGGTAAAATCCTCGTTACCGACAGCGCGGCTAAAACCCTCGTTACCTACGGTGCAGCTAAAATCCTCGTTATGTTGAGGTCTCATTTCCAGACCGGGGCCCGGCCGGCCAGCTTTCGGGAACGAAAAGTAAGTTATGAAAGACAAGAAAACACAAAACATTTTAATCATGAGTACTACTAGTATTCTTTATACGAATTGTTCAATTTTCCTTGATGCAAACAGTCCGGCCGGGCCCTGGTTTGGAAACGTTAACGACAGTGCAGCTGTCAGTCGAGTCACTATACATCTTCCCACATCTGATAACACAAAGAATAATGTTTCCACTGACCATTGAATCTATGGCGATCCTTGTCGTAGTCCAGAGCCACGCGGTAAGGGCTCGGTGTTGACTGAGGGGCGACCGTAGAGCGTGTGAGCGCCATCCCCGCACAGGCCGACTCGTCCGCGCCCTGCAGCCAACATGGCGTGGCGGAACACAGTCCGACCGACCAGACTAGCAGAACTAACCACTTCATCTGTAGGAAACGTGAAGTTCCTGTTATAAGCTTGCATTTTCTCGCTGTTAACATAAAAATTGTCGATGCCAAAATAGAATTCAAATATGTACAATAATAGAAAGTACAATTATGTAAAATGCAGCACTATAATGTATCAAACCGTGTCGTAGCATATTTATCAAAATCATAAAGATGTTGCGAATCGAATACCCAAGATTCGCGGTGACTTGACTAATAAGACTGGACTTAAAAACACGCTTGTAATGTATCGTGAGCGAAATACAAGTTTATCAGAATCCAAGAACTGAGTACTAACAAGTAGTATATTAGTTTGGCAGATTTTCTTGAATGTAACCGTACCTTAGCTCCAGTGAATGACCGTAGTTAAACCACTGTTTTGCTCGTGAAGTGCGCTGCTACCTACAGGAAACACAGCAAGTACAATCCAACAACTCAGTGTTTGATGCACAATCTTCACTAAGGGCCCGGTTACGGTCGTCGTAAATCGTCTTACGATTTAAATTTCAGAACATTTTCGAGCAGACTGTGACAGAATCAACCACCGAAAACGATCTAAGGTAGCCCTTTCGGTAGCAAGACAACTATCATACGACAATCGTACGACAATCATACGACGAACGTGACCGCGCCCTAAACGGCAAATGGAAGTCATTTGTGGAGCAGCCACACAAAAGTCAGCTGTCAAAAAAGGTTTGTGTGGCACACGAATGAGTCACACAAAAGTCAGCTGTCTTCAGTCAGCAAAGAAGTTATTCGGACGGGGGCAGTGGTCTTTCGGCTTCCTCATCTCAAGATGAAGGCCAAACGTGTTCTCAGAACATTGCCCACGTGTTCTTACAACGTGATCAACGTGATTTTACAACATTGCCCACGTGTTCTCAAAACATTGCCCACATGTTCTCAGAAAATGACCCGCGTGTTCTCACATCGTGGCCTACGTGTTTACAACGTGATCCACGTCTCCTCACATGTTTGTTTACATCATATACATGTTTACACATGCAAATTATTTGAAGAAATATGCAAATCATTGGTAGGTAAATCAACCAACCATCATCTGCTTTTTGCCTTCCACTATCTGGCTCTAACGTCACGGCGATGTTTGGTCAGTCTGGCGTTCGACTGCGCCACACGAAGGGTTTTTAATAATGCTTAACGATGAATTCGTGATAACAAATTGAGCGCTACGAGGAATTTTTTACGGTTTACGAAGAATTGCCCGACAACAATTAATGTTCAAATTAAGCGTCGGCTACGATTGACGGCGACTTGAAAATGAAATGGCTCGCTGGGCCTCGCGAGAATGGGGACACAGACATATCTAAATTGTTAGCTAGTATGGTACGCCTTAGGGCGATTATGCCGGCTTGCAGGGTACCATGACTTGCACGCAATATAGTATTACATACAAAAAGTACCAAAAATTAACTTAAAGCCTAATAAAAGTATGCGTAAGGGAAAAGAGGTATTTCTGAGCATACATTCCTACGTCGCGCCATTTAGTTGAAAATGTGAAAGCACGGTGCCTTGATTTTGGAAAAAAGTATATATCGGAAGAAGTAGGATTAAAGAGTACAGATTCGACGAAATAAACGAATTCTAGATCTCACCTATTAGTTGGTAGTCGATCAGTGCAATATAGCCCTTCCTAAATGTATGGTAACGCCAACGACTGACTCTTTTAGCGGGGTGCGCACGTAGCCTCGCAGTTTTCTTGTGCGTGTGCTGCCTGGCTAACCGACAGTGTTCCGGAGTGCGTTTCCTTGTCCACTGAACACGCGCACATTTATATGTACGGTTTTGTCGACGTGGCATTCCTTCTAGGTAAATAGACTAATCCCAACGCCACGCCCATTTCAGGTGAAACATAGCAATGTATGAATACATAAACACTTGACTAAGGTGGAGCCTCTACGTTAGTGTTTGAAGTGGTAATATTGCACAATGATGGACAGCCGGTTGGCCCAGCCCCCTGGATTTACCAGACTTACACGTGTCACGAGGATAAAGTCTCAATTACTTACTACTAAGGAATCATGCAATTTTCAGAATGTATTATGCAAGCTGATAGAGGGACCAAACCTGCACTGCATTACTTTTCCTAAAAGACCAAAGCAAGTCCAGGACAATAGATACAAAAACAATTTTGAAAACTCATTTCCAATCTCATGTTCAATTCCCCCACGGAGGATGAAAGTCAAACAGCGCCAATTGGAACATCCAGAAATATAAGCAGAATTATTTTTCATGTAAGTAATCATCATTCTGACTTATGATTATCTATTGCACATTTATCTTAGAAAAAAGTTGTTGTGAGTTACGATATGGAAATGCTCAGTACCTATCTTACGTACATATGGTTACCAATGCATTGCATCAGCCTTGGGAATTCTTTCTACCCAACGACGTAGCATAGTTGTTATCAAGTCTAAGATACTTCAGCATTTTATTAGCATTGCCTTCTGAGCACTTCTACCATGGTGTTGGAACGCACCAAACAGTTTATGAACACAAGGACGTTTGACTCTGTCTATGATAAATATACTACTTCTGAGTGAGTGAAAAATAAAAGGTATAATTTCATCTGCAATACAAACAATATCATTCAGTCCATTTTTAACGTGGTGGTAGGCTGAATTGAGTAGTAATTAAATAACGGGAATGACGCACAATTTTAACTATTGTAAACACAGAGGCCCCAGAGGTTAAGCTTGAACTCCACATTTCGTGTGAACTGACTGCTTTGAAGTAGCTCAAATGTAAATATTAGCTATATGCCGAAGTCATAGTTCTATTGAGTTCGTGCACACGTACGGGCGTCTTTTATCACAAAGAAACGTGAAGAATCCGAACCTCTTTATTAGAGCTATTGTAGTTAGATAAGTATCAGTAGTCCTGTTTGTACTACAAATGTATTATACCTTATCATCTGTTCAAGTGTACTTAGCCAGATAGGGCATGAATGTACAATAAATATTATAGATTTATTTTATCAGGGGACGGGCATTCACGTGAAATCGTTTGGCAGTTTTATTTGATAAAATTCTTTAATTAAGACGACATTAAACCAATAGTCAAACCTGATACTAATCGATTTTCATGTAATAGCCTTTGAGACACCTTTAGTTTCAAACTTTTCTTATCATCTTCTTTTTTCTCACACCCACCCGTGAAAAATGTTCCCTAACATCAGAAGAGTGTTATTTTACGTCTAAATTAAGTATCTAGAGTTCAAGTAAACGAGAGAGAGAAAAATATCCGTGTGCCATTTTCCGTTAGGCGTAGCGAGCTAATATAATTCACCGTTCGCTAACCGTAGCTTGCTGTTTTAATTCAACCTTTAACTTAATTGTTGTCGGGTAGCATGCGTTATTCCATGTTTCATGTTATTTCTTATCCTTAATTCATCGTTAAGCTTTATTGAAAAATCATTCCTATCGTGTAGTCAAACGTCAGATTGCACAAAAGTCACAACGGAGCGCTTAAGGTCCGCAGACCAGTTTTTCCAGGAACCCCATTGATACAAAAGAATATTCCGACGAAGTCGTTTTCAAAGGCAAAGCCTTACGCGAAAACCCTTTACCGTTAAGCGTTGCGGGCCTGCCTAAAGTTACTGTTAAGTGTTGTTATAATGTATATAGTATTCCAAATGCAGAGCGTCTCAGGGTTCAAGCACATGTTTTTTTTTTTCTGAATAAATGAAGGAGTAACACAAACCTTTGCAGGATGACTAGAAGTTCCTTCCTCTGTCGTGTTGGGTGGGGACTGTTGGGTCTTGGCTGTCCCCTGTCCGGCTGTGTCCCCAAGTGTGCAACCCGGTCTACTCAACACGCTATATATACCTTATTTTGTGGACGTTAGTTTGCATATCCGGCATTCGTTACTAAGGATAATAATAGTGTTTCCAGTCATCAGGTAAACAGTGGTGGCACGCCGCTGTCTTCTTACGCAATTCTTTCCTTGATTAATCGACAACACTTTATTACAACTTGTTGTCTTTACATGGCTTTGAACCTCCGCCTCTGGAATTTGTCATGAACCTTCAGCTGGAATTTGCCATGTTTGCCATGGCTACACAAAAATATTGGCTTTTTATCAAAATATATATACGTGCCTGCACATGTAATAGCTCGCCCAAAAATAAACTAGAGACACTGGTGTAAACTGTGCCCTAAGCTTAAATGGAGAAGGGTCGTGCGGCGCAGCAGAGTGCTCGACTCGGAACCAAGAGGTCCCGGGCTCGAGTCCTGACAAGCCACCGATCTTGTGCCCTTGGGAAAGGCACTTAACACGACTTTCCTCACTTCGCTCAGGTGAAAATGAGTATTGTATTGTCCCCTGTGTTGGTGGCGGCATTAATATAAGTTGAAAAAACTTGAGTGTGCCGTCACCACGTCTTGTGACTACAAATGGAGAAGAGCCAGACCTCAAGCAAGTTAAAGAACCCACCACACTTTATGGCATGTTCATACCCCTTCCTTCTCACATTGGGTTAGTGTTACTCACTCTCAATCTCTGTCTAAATATCTTTACACGCCGATTTTTGTCCGACAAATATAACGGAATTTTTGTAGCCTCCTTTGCATACCAAAAACTGGGGGTTTGGGGGGGGGGGGGTTCTTAAGGGTCTTTGGGAGCTTTTATGTGCTATTTTCTGGTTACATATAGACAACATAGCCGGTCTGGTTGAATTACCCCCGTTTGTAAAACTGGGCTAATCGGAAAACAGCCGAAGACCACCAAACCACCAGTTCTATAAGCCTGCTACGGAGGCTACGAAATTCCGTCAAATGACGGGAAAACGGACACTAGTTAGACTCATTGATGAGTCTAGCTTGAGCTTGTCTAGAGCATTGATGTCTCTGACTTAGCTAGTGAGATAAATAACCCGGACTTAAGTCAGACTGTCTAGACGTGGTCTAATGGCCTTGAACTAAAGCAAATTTGTTTTAAAAAATCCAAATTTATCGCCATGTCTTTTCGCTCATAGCAACGAGTAAACAATAAGTGTGTGTTCAATGATAACGTATGTTGATTGGCACTAAATAGGGATTCAGGCATGATGGATTTATGTAAAGAAAGATAAAGCTCGTTCTGTTATGTTGTTTCCCTTCGGTTGCTTGTTTCTAATAAATGACGCTTTGGTCGTTCGCTGCATTCTGCTAGTGTGACATTTATGTGACATCTTTAGTTTCAAACTTGTTAATTTCTTTTAAAAGTCTTGTTTAAAGTTAAGGCTTTTGTTCCAACACAAGGGATTGTTCTCAACTAGTCGAAAGACTGGTCTAAAGCTCCTATTGAGAACACTATTTTAAACATGAAAACTACGAGAAAACTACCAACAACACAAATGAAGTATTATGATTGTCATAACTTTCTTACTCATTTCCTTTTTTCTCACAGTCACATTAGTTTTGTTGTCTGCAGTGGATTTGACCCAGAACGGAATAACCTACGTACCCACAAAAATATCAAAACAGAATAATTTTGTACCATTTCTTAAAACAACAGGTATACACGGAAATTAATTACCAAACAGGATTTTACCGTAATTCCTTTTAGCAATTTGTTAGATAACATTCTCAACCTTGGTCATAAACACCGTAGTAACGTAACAATGTCAATTTCATTCCGTCTATTTTTCAGAGAGCTGACGCACACTGTAACAGACTGGCAAATATTAGACTATCGGAGGTCAAGTCGTACAAACCTCGCGTGAGCGAACTTCATATAGAGACGCCGCATTGTAAATATTGGCCTTTACATACAAGATCAATGGTATACAAAATTGTGCAGGTGAGCTCAAGGGTGCTAAGAGTCGTTTAATCAAAAAAGTATTGACTGGTCACGAGATTAAGTCAGGAGGCATGCGTATTGCCCACACCTTGCCTCCCGAACCTTCGAACGCGACCTTGACACGTGCACTGGCATAGCCGCACACAGACACTCATCTCTGATCAGTCTTCAGCTTGAAGCTTGAGTGATAGAATTTTGTGTTGTGTGCAATGTGATAAAGTAACATGTCACATAAGTCATATCTTATTATATATAGCATGTTATATATCTTAACTCTTTATTGTCAACAGTTCAAAACTATATGTTCCGCTCTATGTTGGCTTTGGCAGTGCACATGCATGTTCGGCTGAGGAACAGTGGCATTGACCTTGACTTTTAGACTTGAGTCGTTCTGGAGTCTGAAGTTTAAGGTGAGGGACGCTAGCCTTCTTTCCGAGCATGCCCATTGGTGTGAAGATCGGGTGTGTGGTAGTGTGTGTATCTGTGTTAGGAGTGTCTGTCAGCGTGTGTGAGTGCTTGCGCGCGCGTGTGTGTGTGTGCGCGCACGCTTGTGTGGTCACTGTGTATGTGGTCCATGTGGTGTGTGTCTGTATGTATGGTGTGTGAGTGTTTGTGTCTGTGTGTTTGCAGGTACTTGAATATGAATGACCATACGGTCAAATTATTGCCGGTCTCTATATTATATATGGTCTCCCGGCACACGTGGAAGAAGTGAGCCCACCCACGTACATGTAGATACCGGGGGCATAACCACAAAATTCTGCAACGTTACGTTGACCATGTGATCCCATATTATCCCTCAAATCCATTATATATATTGAAACCTTTAAAACGGGGCACCAAGAGACACAGCTTGAAAGAATACCGAGTAGCGTAGCAATTAGTGTTTTTCCTTGTTTTCACATTTGGATAAGGGCCTCCGTACGCGAGTGTACCAGAGAACATAGATCCAACTGTCCTCTAGCCTGGGCGCCATCCTCCGTAGTTTTCTACCACGGAGCCGGTAGCCAGCGACATCAGGGAGCGGGCGAAAACTACGGAGGATGGCACGCAGGCTAACTGTCCTCCTCATCTCTCGCTAAACCTGCCGATGAGGTATCTGTTCGCGTCCCTCTCCTTGTCCAACTCCGTCAGGGCGAGTCTCCTCCCGGAGGTCTCCCGGGTGAGCCGGACCCGGTAGTAGGAGATGACGGCCGCCATGATCAGTATAAGGGGGAGAGCTATGAGCCCAGAGAACACCACGGCCAGCGCCGACTGGAGCCACGTACCTCCTAGCACCTCGTCCCGAAAGCGGTGAAAAGCACCGATAGGCGGTTCTGTGCCGAACGGGCCACAGCCGGGCTCCCTCCCGGCAAGGTTGATATAGTTCGCGTCGGAGACGAGAAAAGATACAGGGAGGCAGAGAACGATTAAGACCGCTGCTAACAGCCACATGTAGAACTGACTGTTGCCTGACTCCCTCCAGCGGCACACAGGGGGACTGCAGGTTCTTGTGACGACGAAGTAGAGCGTGAGGAAACTCAGCGTGGTGGAGAGGGCGCCGATCAGCGGCAGGACAGGGCACGCCAGAGTTCCCACCAGGATCAGCGCCTGTCTGCAAGAACAATGAATTAAGATCAACAGAAACCTGCTAGCCTGGAACCCATCCCTATGATCTTTTTGTCGGTTCTAGGAGTCACGGATAACAGACATACACATTTTCTCCAGAGTAAAGTGAGGAAATTGGTGCAAAGTGCCTTTCCCAAGATAGGTGACATGGCACAAGATAGGTGGCATTGCAGGATTCAAACTCGGGATCTCTCGGTTACGCTACATAACCCCACATGATTTGGTTTGGTTCCCTACCTGTGAGTGACGGACAGCACGACTTTGTGCACCCGTAGCTGCTGTCTCCGTCCTGTCCAGTAGAACACCATGAGGTAGTGCAGCAGCGTCACCAGAGAGTTCCCCAGCGTGTCCAGCACCACTAACTTGTACAGCTCCTGTCCGAGAAACGTGCCGGGACACGTCGTGCTCGCTTCGGACTGGTTCACCTGGAAAACACAGGAAGGACACAATTTATACAGAAGGGGCTGTTTAGCCTCTAGCTGAAAAGAGTAGGAATTGGCCAAATAGACAAACAGGCCAGGGAAGTTGGCCAGCGTTAAGTGTTTCAGGAAGCGACTGGAAAGAATAGACGGGAGCGGACCAACTCCCCTGGCATATCTTCTGTCTATTTGTCCAATTTCTACTCTTTTCAGCCGCTTACCTGGTAGAGGCTAGGAGCTATTGTTGCGTGTTTTCTTGTCTGGAAGTTAATGGTTGTGTAATGTAAATTATTACTTGAGTATCTCGTTCTGAATATTACCTCAGTGTATAGTGAGAAGAGTAGCGCCATGAGGTTGGTGAGGCGGAAGACGAAAACCCTCCCGATCGTGACGTACAGCTCTGTCTTGTGGCTGGAGTAGCGCTCAAAGCGGGGCAGGAGTGGGACCAGGGCAGGCACCAGCGCGTTGACGACCATGAAGATAATCGTGATACCGAAAGTTTCGACAAAACTACGCAAAGAACCCGGCATGGCGGCGGCTAAAACGTCCAGCGTCTCTGCTCGATACAAGACGGGGAGTAGAATCATGGCCGACCCGCCTCCGATCAGCACCAAGGTCAGAAACCAGGCAAGCAGACGTCGGGTAAAGATATTGAGTTTGTCCTTGCGCGTTCGGTTCACCGTCTGTTCCTTGTTCTTTGTATCGGTGAGAAGATCTCGAAAAGATCCGGCGATCGTCTGATGTAAATTGTCCACCGCGTCTGGTGATGTCAGGGAATACTCCCATGACGTCATCAGCAGACGACTGAAGGCGCAGTGAGAGTCCGACAATGCGCTGTTTCCAGCTGCGATGGCGCGAAGAACGAGAAACAGCGTACCGAAGTAGGTGAGGAAAATCATCAAGAGATAGGCAAGATCCAGGGGGTACGGGTCTGTAGATGTGTCGTAGTTCCCGTAGAACATCAGAACTTCTGACATGGCGGCCTTGGCTGTGAATAAAGTGTCCAAAGTG